CTCAGGAAACAAACTGAGGGTTGCTGGGGTGGAGGGAGGGATAGGGTGGCCAGGTTATGGATATTGGTGAGGGTATGTGTTATGGTGAGTGCTGTGAATTGTATAAGACTGATGATTCACAGACCTGTACCCCTGAAGCAAATAATACATTATATGTTGATTTAAAAAGAGAGAGAGAGAGAGATACCACTACACACCTATTGCACTGTCAAAAATACAAAGCACTGACAGTACCAATTTTGACAGGGATGTGGAGCAACAGGAACTCTCGTTTATTGCTGGTAGAAATGATACAACCAATTTAAAAGACAGTTTGACAGTTCATTATGAAATCAACCATACTCTTACCATAGAATCCTACCTCACTCTCAGATATTCACCCAAATGAGTCGATAATTTATGTCCATGGCACTTGTGTGGCTCAATAGATTAAGCATCTGCCTTTGGCTCAGGTCATGATCTTGGGGTCCTGGGATAGAGCCCCACATCAGGCTCTCTGCTCAGTGGGGAGCCTGGTTCTACCTCTCCTTCTGCCTGCCCCTCTGCCTGCTTGTGCTCTATCTCTGTCAAATAAATCTTTTAAAAAAAAAGTATGTCAACACAAAAACTTGCACACAGATGTTTATTAACAGGTTTATTCACAACTGTCAAAACTTGGAAGCAACCAAGATGCCCTTCAGTAGATGAATGGATAAATAAATTGTGGTACAACCAAACAATGGAATATTATTTAGCAACAAAAAGAAATGAGCTATAAAGCCATAAAAGACATGGAGAAAACTTAAATACACATTACTAAGTGAAAGAAGCAGTTTGAAAACACTACATACTATAAAATCTCAACTATATGACATTTTGAAAAGGTGAAACTATGGAAACAGTAAAAAAGTGAGTGGTTGCTAGCAGGTGAGGGAGGGAGAGATGAATAGAGCAGAGAATCTTTAGGTCAATGAAACTATATGATAGTATTGTGATGGATACACATCATTATACATTTGTCAAAACCCATAGAATATATAACACCAAGAGTGAACCCTAATGTAAACTGTGGACCTTAGGTAATAATGATGTGTCAGTGTAGGCTCATCAATTGTAACAAATGCACCATTCTGACTGCCAGATGTTAGTGGAGGAGGTTACCCGTGTATGGGGTTAGGGAGTCTATGGGAACTCTACTTTTCTGACCAATTTTTGCTGTGAACTTAAATCCATTCTTAAAAATTTAGCCTGTTTCTTTTTAGTTATTCAGGTACTCAGGTTCTAATCCATATTTTTAATTATTGATTTCCTATATTCAGTAGTATAATTAGTTGTGGATGTGCCTCGTATGAAAAATGAACATTGAAATACTGTCAAAAATTGTTTCCTAACAGTCCATGATTATATCGTCATAATTATGACAATCTTTTCTTTGTATTACATCTTCTTCAAAAGGTAATGTTCATTATACACAATATACATATTATATATTTAGTCATTATAATGTATAATTGTTGGAAGTTTTTATTTTCCATACAAATGGCAATTCATACCACTATACTTTTCTTTTTATCTTCTTAATACATTTTAAGTGATAGTATATCCCAGCTTGACCAGATTCTCTAAAAGAATTAGGGAATTACACTAAATTCAGAATCCTATTGTTGCTCTTAAATATACAGAACTGAATCTTGTTGCCTTTGGTTTTCCTGAAATGTTAAAATGCATCTGAGACTGCATTAAGATAGCCAAACTGAATATTATGTCATTTTTTATACTTGAAACGTTAATGATGAATGCATACAAGAGATGGGGTCTATATGCTGTCCTGAGTACCTTTGTAGGAAAAAAGTTACATACTGATTTCTTAGTGGTATTATAGAATAACTGCTGTTCTAATCATTTACATTTAACCTTTGAGTTCAAGGAAAAGAGTTAATAATACTCTACATTGAATTTTAAAGTTAATCTAGTCCAAAGACCCCTCCCAAAGAGGTTGTGGATAAAAAGGTATTACAATATAACTTGTTTCCTTTCTAATCCTATATATTTTATATTTAAAAACATGGTTCTGAGAAGGGGTCCATATACGTCCGTATACTGCCAAAGGAGTCCATGACAACTATTTATGAAAACCTATGTTGTACCTGTAATATAGAGAGAGAAGAAACAAGAATTAAAAAACAAGTTTGTCTCTGTGTTAGAGTTACTTTATTCCACTTGTAACATAAATTTTTGCAAGGAGAAATGTCTTTAGCCACATGTTGCTAATTCTAAGAGCTTTTAAGTCTTCCATACTGGTTGAAGCTATTCAAACTAGATAAGCAATAATATAGGAAGTAGGTTGATAAGGAATAATACCAACCAGACATTGCAAATACAGTTTTCCACATTAAATAAACACAACTTACTACAACAAATATTATAATGAATGTAATTTTCTTTTTAAAAAAAACACTAATATTCAGTGTTAAAAAGTCAAGGCCTTGGAAGTATTAGAAACAAACTTCAGTATTACAGGATAGTTCTTTGTGCTTTTGTAAAGACAGGAAACTCAATTTCTTAGGGTAAAACATAGAATAAGAATAGATTTAACTTAAACATTATGGTAACTAGTTCACAGATACTCACTAATCTCATATATCTAAGCATGTTCCTAGTTAATCCTGTTCTTTGTAGTCTCAAAAACATTAGTTGCCACAGCTCTGAACTTCTCTCAAGGTTTCTATTAAACTTGTAATGTCTGATTTTTTTTTTTAGATTTTTTTTTATTTATTTATTTGAAACAGAGAGAGAGAGATCACAAGTAGGCAGAGAGGCAGGCATAGAGAGAGAGGAGAAAGCAGGCTCCCCGCTGAGCAGAGAGCCCGATGCGGGCCTCGATCCCTGGACCCTGAGATCATGACCTGAGCCGAAGGCAGAGGCTTAACCCACTGAGCCACCCAGGAGCCCGTAATGTCTGATTTTGACTTTCATTTAATCAAGGTGAATCCAATATATTTGAGGTTGGTGATAATTTACTTCTACAATATGGAGTATATACACTCTTTACATTTAAGGCATCTTATTAAGGTTTTCTTTCATAGATTTTCAGAAGCTCTCAGACTGAAAATTTTTTTGCAGCCTGAACAGGTTGAAGCAGGAGTCAACAAACTTTATATAATAAAGGGCCCAATAATAAATATTTTTAGCTTTGAGGCTACACAGTGTGTATCCCAACTATTTGCTACTTGTAGCATGAAAACAACCACAGGTAAAATATAAATAACGAGTTGACTCTGTGCCAGTAAAACTTTATTTACAAAAACAAAAGATGGGCCAGACTTGGCCTGAAGGCCATAATTTCACAATTCTTGGGTTAGCCCATTGCTGGGATCATGCATCCTCATAAAATATAATGTGAAATACAGTATAAATGCTTTGCATATATTTCTATTTTTAATTATTTCTTTTTAATCATTTTTAACCTAATATGAATTATTTTACCCTGGGCCTCTGGACTACTTTAATATTTATATTGGTCATAAGTTCTTACCAGCCAAAATAGTTATTAATCAATATGGATACAGACATTGTGGATAAAGACAATTTGAGGTATATATTAATGACACCGCAAAGGTAGATATTAGTTGATACAGTATTCTAAGTCAATGTTATGCTTTTGTTATGGGGAGAAAGCTATACCATTGTGTAGCACACTTTATTTGCATATCCCATTACATTATTTCCATTCCAAGTTTGAGCACTTAATTTCCTTGCATTCTGAGTCTATCATTCCCTCTGACTGGACATTTTTTCTCGTTTTACTCAATCTTCTCTCCCCTTAGCACACATGAACATCATCTTTTTCACAAGAGTCAACTCATCAAATCTTAATCCCTTACAGAATTGGAAACGTTTTTTGGATCACATCATCCCCTACTTTAAGGATCTATGATAATAAGCAGTAGGATTTTGTATTACATACTTCACTAATGATATTTTAAATTTATCTGTTTTGGAAAGGCAAGAAGAGTATAAGGGTGTCTTTTTCATTCCATATGAAATTATTTTTTCTTCAGTCCTGAGATCTATTCAAACTACTCATGTAAGATTGCCAAGATTTGATGCCAAATTCCAAGGGTCCTCTCTTAGTTCTTGTCCTCTTAGATTCTCTTTAATTCAATACTGTCAACAGCCTGTGCTCAAATTTTATTAAACTCAGATGTGGTTCTCTTTCCTTACATTCAGTATGAGTTTTCAGTATCTCTTTCAAAAATATATTTCTTCTTTTACCAACTACTAATTATGGCTACTGACTATTCCCTTTGTTCTATAAACAGTCTTATAAGGGAGTTTTTCCTGTTTTCTTCTGTACTTTAATAGTGTTTAATAGTGAATCTGACCTTAGTGCTCTGATTCTTTTCCTAATTTAAGCCAAAAAAAAAAAGAAAGAAAGAAAGAAAGAAAGAAAGAAAGAAAGAAAGAAAGAAAGAAAGAAAAACCACATGAATAGGTGGTCACTACCTCCTCTAACTCAAAATCACAAATACACAATTTTTCACATTTTATTTTCAGAATCCATAACTCTTAATGTTAGTTTGCCCATCTTTCTTCTCCCCTAAAATCAAAACAATACCAGTGATTTTTCTGACCTCTTGATGCTACATGGTCCATTTATTTTATGTCCCCTTTTCAGTTAACTTTATAAAAATAATATATTTCTTTCCATTGCCAAATCCCTTTGTTAAACTCCATTATTGCCTTACCAGATTACTATTTCTTCAAAACTTCCTTATCTCCAGTTTCCATCCTTCAGTCATGTATACAATCTGAATTTAGGTTTTTAATCTGAAGTAATTTTTTCCCTCTTAGTCACTCTCATCAACTGTTATCCACATCCTTTCTAAATCCCTTACCATTAAATATTATATTCTCCCTTCAGTATTCACAAACTTACCAACCTAAATTATTCATATACAGCTATTTCTCGTCCTTTTCTTTGAGCTATAATGAAGTAAGACTGCTCCTGTTCTCCCCAGATATATGAAGTCTTCAAGCAGTTCCACTCACATAGAACAGTTTGTCTTCACTTCTCTATTTTCCCTGAGAGTACCAGAGCATATTGCCAATGAGCTGTGAGTAGTTGACCAGACTCGAATATTACCACAAATTTCATTAATTTACCAGATATTTATTGAGCACCTCCATGTGCTAGCCAGTATTCCAGATACTGAGAATAAAGCAATGAACAATACTGAGTGGTATTGGACAGTAGTGAACAAGCCAGAGAAATTCAGGTCAGTCTGTAGAGTTTAGCAAACCAGATGAATTCAAACCCCTAGAGTCATACTGTCCCCAATATAGTAACCACTAGCCACATAAAGCTAAACTCAATTTTAAATTATTTAAAATTAAACGAAATTTGAAATTCAGTTCCTCAACTGCAACTAGCCACATTTTAAGTTAGTAGCTACCATATTTGACAGTGTAGTACAGAACTTTTCCATTAACAAGTTCTATCAGACAATACTGCTCTAGAGATACTGAAACAAATATGGAAAATTTTGAGCCTATCTAAAATTTAAAAATATGTATGTCTTAGGACAGCTTGGTTACATAAATTAGAAGCTAACCAACACTCAAAGTACCAAAAGAATAGTAGCAACCAGGTGTTTCTTTGACCCAAACTAATCTTAACATAAAATCTCAGGATGCACAGATATATGGAATTACTCTATTATATATATATAGTATATATTTATATATATATATTTATATTTACTCTATTTATATATATAGTATATATAAATACTCTATTATATGGCTAACCTACCACTTCCAACTTGAAGGGTATCCTTTGGGTTTTGAACAACTTTCTGAAGAGCCTTCTGCCAAACTTCCCTTTTAAAAGCATGTTTTTAAAACCCACCTAATAATGTTTTCAAAAATAGAAGGAATGTTTGAAGTCACTGGTTTCTGTGTTAACCTGTTCCTCATTCTTATATACCAACCATTGTACTGGTTAGATTAGATTAGAGATTGTCTAAATAGATTGTAAGCTCTCAGGGAGCAGGAAGCAGTTCTGGAGCCCTCCTCATCTCTAGTCTCTCACTTCTTAACACTCTAATATAATTTGTACACATGTTCTGCACGTATTGAGTAAATGTTCATTGATGTCCTACATTCATCTACCCTAACTTGCTCTTTTTCTTTCCTGTTCAGTCTTTCTGATCTATATTTTCTTTCTCTTTGCTTAACAGACAGTGTGGAGCATTCATTATTAAGACAATTGGGCAGCTCTAGTCCAGCTCAACTGATTTCTTGTCCAATGATCCTTGTGTGGCCGAGATCCAGCTTCAACGAACCGGCTAGAAGCTGCCTGTTGTGACACTTAGGGTTAGTTAATACCTCGCCATACTTATTTATTCCATTATAAGCTGTCTAAATTTGATGAAATTTGCTTTTTCAACTGTTCTACAAAACTAGGTAGTTGTGGCATGTTGGTTTGTTTATGTGTTAATCTAAATGTAGTGACATTTTCTACATGTTTTATCCATTCCATAAATAATAATCACATTGGGAATAGTGAGGTGTCTTTCATTTTCTCTGCTTTGTGTTATTTCTTTTCCTTTCAATATTTTTGAAGTAATATTTAATAGTATTTGCTATTTATTTTAATATTTAGGATGAGTCTTTCCTAATAGAATTTTAATACTTTCATGCCTTTTAGTATAAGTACATTTGATCTTAATGATTCAGTTCCACTACTTGCTATTTTGTTATTTAATATGCTTTTGTCTAAGTTTTTATTTATTTGTTACTGCTACTCCTTATTTAATTTTGCTTCTGCCATGGTTTTCAAAATTTGAGTAATATTTATACTTCTTTTTTAATAACATTTTCCAAATATTAGAAAAAATTCAACATGATCAGTGTTCTTGCCTTTTCATGTGATTAATTTGACTATATTAAACTTTTTCTCTCATATTTGTGATAATGCTGCAGCCTTCCTATAATATAAGCCATCTGGTACCAAAATTTATATAATATGGATCACCTAGTAGAATTATTTTGATAAAAGAAGGGTTCACCTCTGACATGATCCCGTAACACTGATATTCCACTATATTTTCATGTTCTTTGAATGCTTTAATCTTTTGAACTTTTCTTCTTCTAGGTTACCAATGTATGCAATTGTAGATGTTATTAATATTTAAAAAGAATTATTTTCACAAAAAAGCAAAATTATTTCTTACAGCAAAGGAAAACTTTAAATTCTGATTCTAAAGCCAATTCTTATTATAAAATTGGAAAATAGGTGGGGAAGAAAAGCCATTGTTCAAAAGTTACAGAACAAAGCTTAAGTGTTTTTAATTACTAAAATTGCTGTACTAGTATAAAAAAAATCCATTCTACATTCATTTGCTTTTTCTTTTATTAACTTCCTAATTTTAGGAGAGAAGAGGAAAATCCACAAATATTAGCATTACCCTAATAAATCTCTCTCCCCTCCCCTTTTCCATCCCCAAATGTATACATGTCCAACAGCAGAAGTGGAAATAATAGGACTTAGATCCTAAAGATTTTCCCGGTGAGTCAAATAGCATGTTTCTTTTGAAACCATAATGAGTATGTTTGCCAGCCAATTGGTTTCATGAGAACAGTAGGACTATATGATTATATACTAGCATACAAGTATCCCATGCACATTAATTATTCTCAGTTTTTAGAAATATAAATAGATTTATTAAATGTTAATAGACTTATTAAAGTCCCACAATGAAATATCAAAAGTTTTTGTTCTGTAAGTAAACATTATTAACCACTGATGTTAAAGATATTTTAATACCACTGTCCTTGAGAACAAAAAAAGTTAATGTTTTTATTTTCAAGATGTTAAACATGATGCTAAACAAATCCTGGACTGTTAATAAAAGTTAATGATGTATTATTGGATAAGGAATCTCGAATAATAATTGATACCCAAGTATGTTTCTTCCACAGAGCTGTATAGATGATATGCATACACACATATGTGTATGTACACACATATATAAATTATTTACATATGCACATTATATACATATGCATATATATAACTCACATGTATACACTTTCTTAGAATTTAGCTTTATTTTGAGAAACTAATTAAAAGTGAAGAATTTATTGTCAACCTGTATATATTGAAAACATCATCAACTTTTTTTATGGCCTGGCTTGACAGATCAAACATGTTACTTCTAAAAACTGAGTAAGAGGGTAAAAATTCTTCTTATATAACTAAGTAAAGCCCATTTTAATTTTTCTTTTTTTTTGCAGAGTATCTTCTATATATAAATATAAAGTTTTTATTTACTTAGTTCCCATTTTGAAAGGCCAATCCAAAGATATCTGAAATTCACTGTGTTAGAGTAAAATGGATAATATAAATATTAGTACATGTAGCAATCACAAAGTAGTAACTCTGCAGCCTGTTTTCCTAAAATCTCTTATACAAACAGAGACAGAACGATAGTAGCATCTCAAAAGATAAAGGATTTTGGAAAATTAAGACTTTAACTTCCTTTCCTGTCAGCCAATTTCAGAATGATGGCTTAGAAAAAGAGGTATGATTTAGTTTATAATACTACTTTATAAATTTCTGCCAAAAATGTCAGTACAATATTTTCAAACAAATTTATACAAAACTCCCAAATATAAGAGTGTGTTTCATGGATTAATGCTACATTTAATTAAAATAATGAATTGGGGTCATATACACAAGAATTTTTTTTGTATTTCCCAGAAGTAGTGTTTGGATAGTATTAAAATATAGAACCAAGGGACTAGAAAAGACTTCACAGGGACATCCTATCCAACTTTGATATCATGCTTCAACATGCCCTACTGTTATGAAAATAAATTATTGGCCTCTAGGCCTATACTTTGACTAAAATGTATTCTGAAATCTCTATAGACTTCTGGGGAAAAGAGCAAAATTTTCCAAAGGGTGGGTATAATATCTTAATTGGTGCTGTTTCTTTCAACTCTATCCAATGCTTCCATTCCTATACATAAATTCCTAAAAATATGCTATCAGCGCTGTCCTTCCACGTTGAGTACCACTCTCTGATTAACAGCTATTGTTTTTTGGACCTGCTGTATGTGTTTTTGTCTCTTTACTTTTATGTATTGCATAAAGTTGCTAGTATTTCCTGCATTCTCATGATTCCTCTCAGAAATCAAGTGTCATTCAAGACTACTTGTTTTCACATTGTCATTTTTGTCCTTTCCACCCAATATAATTTTCTTCAGTTTTCTATATACTGGTTATCTTAATACCTACTTTCTGATCTGTCAGAATCTGCAAAATAAAAGGGCAGGCATTGATTTTAAATTAGTGAACTAACAGCTTGAGGTTTTCCAGTTTTATCATTCTTTTTAGGTATGCTGTTTAAAATAGTATCAGCTAATATAATACCAACCCTGATTGTATTGAAGTAAAGATACACAGTAATAGGCTGAATAGTCACTAAAACATTTTATCTAAGCTAGTGAGTGATATTATATTGACATCTGACTTATTTTTAATACATGTAATTAAAAATTTTTCCAGCTGACTTATCAGTTTTCCTCATTTGATATGTATTTCTTAGTTAAAACAAGCCAATACTAGATTATTTACTAATATTTTGGCAATAATTTTCTTAGTGAAGCTAGTTTTGCATTTCTGTCAAGGTATGTACCCATGAGTAAATGTCATTTAGTATTTCTCTAAAGATGAGTCATAAACGTTGTGGCGTACTTCTTGCCTTTGGAAAACAGGGATATGAGAAGCTGTATCCCGATACCTAGAAACTAAATCTCTCCCCAACCTTCCCTGCTAAGAGTTTTTTCCCCACTTTAACCCTTTTACTTACTGGTTTTTGTTTCTCATCAGAGAAAATTTGGGAAGCCCTAGATCCTCACACTTCTTTGGGATATACCTACAAGTATAGTAGGCCTAAAAAGAAAATTTTTAATAAGAATGTCCCTTGATTAGACTCTTACTTTTTTCTTCATTTCCTCTTTCATGGAGTAGAAAAGATAAAATACATCTCTGAGACTTTTTCTTTCATGGGGAAAGTAACATTTTTGAGAAGACGCTAACTTT